CAGGTGGGCAGCCAGATAATCACGCCGCACACGGAATGGGTGGCGGTGAACCTCTTCCAGGACTAGAAGCCAGGGAATCCAACATTCCGGCTGAAGACCCACTTTAATTAAGGGTTCTGCGCTTTCTGCCACGCCTCGAGCATGACCGAAAAAGGGGTCGATGCAATCTGCAGGTGGACACAACCGGCGGAATTCAAGAGTTGCGAATTTGAATTTCAGAACTTAGACCGAAAACCTTTAAAAGTTAACCAAGTTTTTCTAAGTTTGTATAATAAGGTATAGGTTTTATGTAGCCATTACTTAACTGACTAATGATTATGCTTCTTAAGAATAACGTAGGGGTATTTGAATTGTTGAAATAGTTATAGAATATTCTATATAAACAAAATTTAAAATATTGTTAATATTGCTTTAGTAATTCAATGAAGAGATTTTCAACACCTAGAAAAAAAGAATTTAAACCCAATGTCTTATAGACAAATTACATAAAAACTGATGACATGTCATCGATTCAATATATTAGGGCAGTGACTCCAAGTTTATAGGTTATCGATTTTTGTTTTTTGTGATTTCTAACTTCCAATAAAATGGTGAAATCTTGAGTTGGATATCTTGAGGATATAGATTATAGCCCTATCCTGTACACATCCAAACCCAGTCCCAATCCCTCGCCAATCAGCTGATGAAGGGCATGCCGAGTTCGCTTCTCACCAGCCACATTTGGCCCTTTGTGAGTGTTCAAATGCAGCTGCCAAAAGTTGTCTTAACTTGAGCACACTGTGTGCAGCTTCAGTTTATTTCTGGGGCATTTAAGTGACTGGCCGCCTTAGCAGGGGTTACTTGGGATGCACTCCTCGGATGCGCCAGCAGCTCCGTCTGCTGAAAACTGGAACCCCTCCGGTTACTACCAGTTACTACCACTACTACTGACTGCCTTTGAAGGGCCACCGACGACTGGGAAGGAGAGTTTATTTTTTTCTGGCTTTCGCTGCCAGGACGAGTGGAATGTCGGCCAAACTAACACATCCTGACACAAGTCAAGAAATTTATGAGCTGTAACGTTGGCTGGGGCTGCTGAGTGCCGATGGGTATGAGTCCTTATCCGTATCCGCAAGTGAGTGTGTTTGTGCCAGGCGTGTGGGGCTTTTGGCTTAATTGAAATTTAAACGTTTAACCCTCGGTGTCAGCAGTTAAGTCCTTTGTTTTGGCAGCTGAGTGCGTTTCATGCAACTGACACTTGGCCATTTCAATTTGCCAAGCAACTACAAGCGGTAACAACTAAATCGCTGAGTTGGCCACTGTGCCACTACTATACACATATATATATAGACATTCCCCTCAGTTGGCCATGATTGCCGAATCGAAAACCAATAAATGGTGAGGGAATCAACCCAATTATGCCACCGAACTTTTGTAAACTTCACCTGCTGATTGGACCAGTCAGACACGCAAGTGGTGAAGGCATTAAGCTCGAACGCATGAGCCATGAGCCATGAGCTGTGAGCTGTGAGCCATGAGCCATCAGCCAGCAAGTGGCCATTTTGGCTGTCATGGCAACCTGGTTGGCCACCACAATAACACGGAGCATGCACCGACCACCGACCACCGCCCACCTGAACCACCTGACCTGAGCTACCTGAGCCACCTCATCCACCCACTCACATGCGAGCCAGTTGTGTTGGAGATTCCAGCGGTGCCGCCTGGTGGCGTCCATGTCCAGTGCCACTCGCTCTACGCTTAATATAATTTTGTGCAAATTTGTGTAATAAACCGGCATGCCAGAAGTGAAACAAATCTGCTCCCGACAGCAGCTCAAAGGCACCGCAACGGCAGTAGCAAATTTCTGAGCTATGCGAAAATGTCAAGCATTTTCCGTGTCTCTCTCTCTGTGTGTGTGTTTTCATTTTTGTATCAACAACCCGTACTTGTGGATTTTTTTTGTATACCTTATATAGTATATATATATATATATGCTATATGCACACCTGCAGTGGACAGTGCGCGCACGCTCGTGCTCTCGGCCAGCTTTCCTTTGCGGAATGCTTTGAGCCGGAGCGGAATTGGCCGGGCTATGCTTTTGGCCCGTTCTCTCGCGATTAACCTGCGGAATGTCAAAGTCAGGCCAGGATCGCCAGGTGGCTTGAACTGGCCCAGGGACAGAAACAGGAGTTCCAAACACAAAAAGATACTGCGTCGCATTCCCATCCCGTGCAAACAGTTTATTTTCTCGATTGTAGTGGACTGCACTGGGAGAAACTCCCTATAAAAGCTTACGAAATTTCAAAGAAAATATTTTGATAATCCAAACAGAAGAATTTAATCTTGAACGATAGGTTCCCTCTTAATAAAAATGTTTTTAAAGTTTTTTATAAGTTTATAACACTCTGCTAAATCAGTTAGATCCAATCGTTATCAGAATTTCCGTATGAAATAGGTTTGGTTTTTTGAACGCCATAGGGGTTTGTGGGATCTGACCTAAAAAGAAGTTTTGCAAATCAAGAGAAAATATATTGAAAGCGGAAATGGAGTGATAAGTTTCCAGTTTATGATGGTGATTTTTAGTTTTCTTCAGGCTTACTATATATTACTGTACCAATATATGGCTTTAAATTAAATATGATTATTTATTGGAGTATAAATCTTTAGAAATTCGAAATAGTTTGATAAGGATTATATTTTTGTCAAGTATTTTATAGTAAGATGTTTCAAATATCACTGTTTTTTTTATTTTTATCAGGACTTGTTAAACATTGTTAATTTATTCTTATATGCTTCTTTGAGAGGCCAATTTAAATACTTATGCAACAATGGTATTAAAACTTTTCTAGTTATTTTCCTGAGTGTCCCTCCTGCTCCCTTTTCTACCCTCGTGGGTGGAGTGGCTTTCCAAGTGGTTTTTCAATGAAGTGTTAAGTGGGCAGAACTGCCTGGCTGTGTGTCCTCTCGCATCCTCTCGCGTATGTGTGTGCAAGTCCTTAGCTACTTTAGCCGTTCCCCCTTCCCTGTGTGTTGTGTCTGTGTGTGTGCTTAGTTGTCGCAGGATTCTCGCTCACCTGGCAAATAGTGCTGCGGTCTGTGCACACCTCGCAGCCAGAATCCCACTTCCACTTGCCATTCTCCACTTTCCACTTGCCACCCCGCACAGCCCATAGCCATTGTTTGATGGTGGTTATAAAGCTGACAGCTGTCAGTTGGCAGTAAATTTGCTAAAATGTTTATTTGCCAAGCGGCTAAGTTTGCGTTTAACAGCAAGGCAGATGTACACATATATGTACACACATATATACGCCGCACAATCACAGACGTTGTGTGAGCCCACAAGGATACCAAGGACCGAGGACCGAGGACCAAGGACCGAGGGCCGAGGACCACTGACCAACGCCCGGGGACCATTTCGAGTTGGCCAGGTTTAATCATTTATAAACAGCTGTAGCAGCAGCAGCAGCAGCTACTACAAATATGCGAGCTATTCCTGGCCTGCCTGGCATGACAAATGTTTTGGTACTTAATAATAGAATAATTATGGCGACACCATACTATAAAACGGTTTTAATGATTATGATGCTCATATCCACATTTCTATGCAGGACACACCAGGGGTCACACACACACAGACACATGCCATAATGGTTGTGTGTTTGGGTTTAATTGCCATTTTGCAATAATGCGATTTAGCCCACAGTTTGGCCTACTACAACACAGCGATTGCCCTTGAAGCATTTCGATTTAGACCACTTGCATTATTTGGGCCAGGCCATTTTCACTTACCAAGCCACCGGATGCCACTCAATTTTCAAATTTTCTCGATTGCCCAAAAAGTTGGATCGTTATTATTCGCTTTTACACTGGTAAAAGTTAAGCAAGAAAAATAGGAAATAAAAAAAAATCATTTTTATTACAACCTAGAAGCCTTTTCAAAATTCAATAAAATAATATTCATTTAAAAATTGTATTACAATGAGTTGGAAATTCTAAGGTCGTATACTTGTTACTAAATAAAAAAATATTTACTTTTATTTCTTCTTTCATTGTCTTAGAAATATGAAAAGAAGACTGAGTATAATTTTTTTTTTTAAATTAAATAATATTTTTTTTACCATGGGCTTGTTGGTTAGTCAACTAAAAAGTATACTTTTTATTTTTAAAATTGAATATTGACTTTTGACCAATTATTTTTTTGGCTGTGGACTTTCATTCTCCGCTCCGCCAGCTAATGGAGCTCAAACTTCAAACCGGGAGATGGGGAAAAGTTAAATTTTATTGCACTTCCCGGCCAACTGCTGCGCGCGACGTCTTGTCTCTTTTTTATTATTAATTTATTAAAAGCCCGACGCCTGTCGTCTGGCCGTGGCTTTCAGCCGGTTCCGCCTGGGATGTTCAACGCCTCGTAAACCTTGCCAAAATCATCACCAGCAGAGCCCTGAAAATGGCAGCAAAATGAAATGTAAATCCGAGGAAGGCGGAGAAATCGCCTGAAAGGCAACAAACGAATCGAGCTTAATGCCCGGCAATCGCCATCAATGAGCCTTTCTCTCACTCCCACTCCTTTAATACCGAATACCAAATAACGAATGCCAGTTACAATACCAATCCCAATCCCAATCCAATTCGAATTCGCTCTTGTGTTTATATAATTTAATTTCGAGTTGCAATCAGCTCGATAGGTTTTCGCAGATTTCCACAGTTTTTATTCGCACGCGGCTTTGGCTTGAGCTTGAGCAGCTCGAAAATGTGGAGAAACGCATTCACATGATTATTATTTGTGGCTAAAAATAAGCAAGGAATTTCCGTTTCGCCTGCGGTGGCATTTTTCGAAAACTATTTTCCAAGCGATTTAACAGCCAAATTCACTTTGATATCGCGTGAAATGTGCGGCGTTTATGTGTGAAAAGGGAAATTTAAATCAAATGCAGAGACACAGAGACGGTGAATTTTTCATAGCATACTTTGGCGGGCAACGCGAGAGCTGAGGTCCTGTCAACGCCCTTGTGCACCAAGGGGGGCGGGAAGGGAGGTTATATCCCTAGCTTTCTAGCTGTCTATTTCGCTGTTTTGCCAAGCATCAACCAACCAATTCCCCAGTCATCACATGTGTGTGTGCGTTGCTCACTCTTTGATAAAAACCGAAATTAATTATTGACGAGGACATAGCCGCGGATGTTGCCTTTGCGTTCGCCCGTTGAAAGTTTAAAAGGCGTTCGACTGAAAGCAGCACACACACACACACTAACACACACACACACCGATGACACACCGACCCACCACCACACTCGCACTCCGCACTTCCGTTTCCGCTTAAAAGCACCGAGATGTGTTTACTTTGAACTAGCGAAACTGTCAACGGCAACCGCAAACTATCGGCGGTAAGAAGGACCCGCATCAGAGAAGCCCTTAACCAAGCCAGTTGTGAGCAAACAAATTAGTGTTTAATTATACATAGGCAACCGGGTGGCCCATTCATTAAACGGCACAAAAAAATGCATCAAAGCGGCGTAAAATGAGTGAAAAATCTCCAACCAGTGACAACAAAGACAAACACAAGGAGGGTAAAGGGTGAAAAGTGAGGGAAAACTGGGGGAAAAAGGACAAAAGCGGGTCAGATACTAACCGCATTAGAGGATGCAGAAGCGTCCGAAAGCGGAAGTGAAGCGCGTGACGGGGCCGGCCAAGCCGCCGCGTCTGAAGGCCGCGAAAAAGCAGTTGCAGTTCGAAAGTCCGCTGCCGCGAAGGACACGCGCCGACCAGTTGCAGAAACAACATCATCCCATCAGCCAGGAAGGCCAGGAGCAAAGGCAGCAGGAAAGGCAGCAGCAAAAACCAGCAGACAAAGTCATTGCTATGCCGGGCAGCAGCCAGGATGCGGACACGGATGCGGCAGCGGAAGCTGCAGTGGACGTGCCAGAAACAGAGCCAGCTCCATGGCCAGACCCACATCATCCACATCCAGATCCCGGCCAGCTCACGGTGTCACATTCACAGACCGTCCCCGCCTCCACCTCCTCGTACTCCTCCTCCGCCAAAAAGCGTCTCGCCGAAGGCTGCACCAGTCTTATGTATGCCTGTCAGCGGGGCGATATTGTCCAAGTGCTCGCCCAAATGCGCGAAAAGGTAAGACAGCAGTACACTCTGAAAGAATACCTAAGTATAAGCCCACTTTTATAATGATTTTAATTTTAAAAATATTTTGGAACCCTTTTAAAATGGGTTTACGTGCGAATTGTAAGTTCTTAATTATCTGATTATGTTTCTAGTAAAAATCACCCAAGCTTTCCTTTTAAAAAATATATATGATTGCTTTTGTTTAACAAACCTTAATTTTTTTTGATTTGTAGGTTTGAAGGATTTTTATAGCTTGGTTACCTTATGACAAAATCTTTTTAAATATTATGTTGGTCTTACAAGGGTTCTAAGAATCCCATCAAACCAAGCAAAAACGTTTAATGGTTAAATTTTGTTATCGATTTTTTATTTGGCAAGCTTTTTGATAAAACTGTTTATATTATATATTTTATTACGCTAAGAATATCAAGAATATAATATTTTCTCATGCTTATCATGCTTATCAATATTTAGTGAATAATTAAAAAAATAAACTTGCTTGGAAATGAAATATTTTAACGCAGCTGAAAGCTATATACACATCTTACTCTTTAATTGTATAAAAAATCATTGATTTGAGTCCATTATATTTTTTTATATAGGTTAAAGTCCATATGAACTGCTATATGGATTTCTGACATCCCTTTTTTTTACCATATTTAATTTCTAAGTGCACTCTCTGAAACTATCCATAGTAGTCTAGTTTGGCGTCTTACAACACGTGTTCAAACCAAAGCGGACAACAAGCCAACTGCAAGTGTGTAAGGGTACAGGACTTGCCAGCAGCTACCAAAAAGGATAATGGCTAAGCCGAGGCGATCCAAGCATGACAAGTTGACTTCTTCCAGGTCCGCGCCTCTTTGGCTCCACGGATCCCAAAAAACAAAGCCAGTCGTCTTTTCTGGGGGCCAGAAATAAAGGCCCAAATCAGGCAGAGGCGTAGTAAAGATTTCAATCTTTCTGCAGTCACGATGAGCCGACACAAATGCTTAAAGCCAGAGCCGGAAAACCCGGAACCCTTACTCTTCCGAGGTTTCTGGGTGTTTTTGGGGGGGTCCTTAAATTTCCGTTGCAGTCATTTCGGCGCATTGTTCACAGTTCAGAGCCCCTAATTGCTTCATAAACATTTCTACAACAGGCTGGGGCGCCAGCACAACAAAGGCGAGTTGAATTTGAATGCTGTAAATGGCAGGACATTTAAAATTGACAAAATAATCCCCCAAGCTTAGTTATGCCGGCCGAATGGTGAATGCTAAATGGTTGGTCCTTCTTCTACAGCTCCGTTTTCTACTTTCCTGCTTTTCTCCCATCGGGACGATCATTTGATTCCGTTTCAATCGTCCTGCTCGTCCATCAAGCGCCTAAATATGCCAATTTCACATTTAATTGAAATTTGAAAAGTTTTTAATTGAACGCAGATAAATTTTCAAGGCCTGCCAAAGGAGCCTAGTCATGTCCTTCGAAATCACCCTTTCCCCTTTGCCCCTTTCAGATTGTCATGTTGCTAGTTTTGCAATTATTTGCCAGCCATTGTGAGCTCTGACAAATGCCTTCATTTCCGGCCAGTTGGCGTGCCTTTCGTCCTGGTAATTGATATTGACGCCAAATTTGATGTGAAATTGCCTGGCATTGAGTATTGCTCGCACACACAGAGTTCGACAGCGACTTTTTGCGCAAATACTTAGATGAGACCCCTGTGAATTTTCCACCGACCCCTTCTGTCAGCTTACTTGGTTATATAATTGCCAAATGACATTTCTGCTGCCTAACCTTGGTAGCAAAAATCCCAACCATCCCCCCCAAGCAGTTTATTTGCCTGTGAAATATGGCAAATGCCGGGCGATTATTACTTACTTTGGGTCGCGTACTTTATGAGCCTCATAAACTGTAACGACAACATGACCGCATTTCCAAATTTTCGGTTGCCCAGCTGAAAAGCACAAAAATTGCTTTTCAACTCAGGGGCCAACGAGGCGTATGCGTAATGTGAGTGTGCAGCATTGCTTATGCAAATGAATGGGCGTACTTGTATTTTTAGAAAAAGGAAATCTCTGCTCTTGCGGTTCAAGGTAATTGTGATTCCGATTCCCACAGCAAGTTCAGTAAATCTGTATATAATTACGTCGCCAGTCGCTGACTGATATTATTAATGTTCAGTTGCGGCTATATTGTTGTACTTGTATTGCTGTTCTTGTTGTTTATTCTGTTATATCTTGTGCCTCTAAGACATATTTTAATTTGTCTTGTCTCTGCATGTCTGTGTCTCAGATTTTCTACAGCCTTGATAAGGCCGCCTAAGCTATTAAAAGTTTTAATGTCTTTAATTTACCGTCTTCTCTGGCCAACAGTCCTCTTTTCTTCTCACATTTTGTTTTTGTCATAGAATAATTAAACAGCTCCTCTTGGCTTTGTCGCCTTTTAGTTGTTATTTCTGTTTGCTTAGCGCTACGATATTTTTGTGGATATATTTTAATTGCGCTTATGGTCTGAAGGACCTCTTGAACTATATGCTTGCTCTTTATTGGATTTCTGTGTTTTCGATTTATTGCTGTGTTCAACATGGCGTATGAGTAACAACTATTGCCGAGCTGGGGAGAAAGCTTCCTTTACACACACTATATATATATGGTGGAGATATATAGATTTATATACAGGGACAGTGGCTTTTGTACACAACGTTGGTGGCTTCTCGGCTTTTTGAGAGCACTCAGGCAACATTCATCGACGTTGTTTACTCGCCTGCTATTGTTTTGCTTAAACTTTTCATTGATGTTGGTTTTTCCAGCCACCGCTCAATATCTTGGGCTCTCGTCTTTATTGTCTGCCAGCGCTGCTGCTGCTGCTGTTTTTACCAATTAAGTCTTAATTTCTTAGAAAATAAAACTTTTCGGCTCCCAGGCATTGTTGCTGTGTCTTCTCGTTGTGAATTCCCCGAGCTGCTTGGAGCCCGCCTTTGGTTAATGTTAATGGCGTAATTGTGCCACCTTCGCAACGGGGTCAGTTGTTGTTGCTCTATACTATATAGCCCCTGCCTTCGACTTTAAACCGCAATTTAGCCGAGAGTTCGAAACTGAAGTTTTACACCGCAAGTTGGTAATTGTATGTCTATCTTAGGCTGTGTGTGTGTGCCTGTGAGTGGTACGCTGGCTGCCATCCCTCAGATTGCTGCAGGTGTGAATTATTTATTTTCACTTAAGATTTGCGGCGCTGCTGGGTCCTGTCCTGGTCCTTCGTAGTGGCTCCTTGGTAAGTCACTCCGCGCCCCTCTTGCGAACTCCTAACCAAGGGCCCCTCTTCACTTTTACAGCTTTAAGCAAAAGTTTTCGCTCAAAAGTCAGCTGCAGAAGTTGATTTTAGCCGACCGAGAGCCGCAAGAGATGCTTTTGTTTGTTGCAAATAATATAATAACAAAACAACAGGGCAACTTTGTGGGGGAATGATGAACGGATGGGATGACCTTTACAGCGAATATTAAAGTTAAACTAAATTTAATAAACTTATTTTTTTGGCTTAAAATTAAGAAGATTATAGCTGGCTTATAGTTAGAGCAGTTGTAAATTATATAAAAAATTTCAAAATTATCGAATAAAGTGTCTAAGGGTATGCTGTACAAAATTAACAGTCGTTTTTCGGAATAAAAATTTTAAAAAATATTTTGTTGCATACTTTTAGGCACGTCTGGTAAAGATATCAAAACCCAAGGAATTTCTATGCGTTTTTATATACTTCTTGTCTTTAAAAACGGTATGAAAAGCTGAAGGAATTTAGTTTCGCCTGATGTTCCCCATTTCCAATCTTTTTCCCAGGGTATGCTGGACCTGCGGGACAGACGAATGGGATTTTTGTGCGGTCCTGGGAGTCCTGGAAAGTTGTCGTTGAAAATTAATTTAGAATTCAGTACATCTTGTCTTGCGCCACTACCTTAAATATTGAAGCACCTAGCTGTTTAGTAAATGTGTAGCTTCCACTCTGTAAATTTTTTAATTAGCTTCAATTGATTGACCTTCGGTCGGCATTTTATAATTACGCTCGTTCATAGCACTTTCTTTTCCCCAATTTTTCCCTTTCTTTCGCCGTTTGCCGCGCAATCAACGTGCAAATTATTATCAATTTGGGCGAAGTGGGCGAAAGGAGTGGAGGACTCCGATGCAATCGGATCCTGGATCCTTTTCCGGTGCCTTTCGCCCGGCCACGGCTTGGTAATTTTAATTGCGATTTTTTCCAACCCCCGCCCAGCGGAACTGCAACACGTTTGGCACATTTTGTTGAAAATTCATTAAAAATGACGTCGAAAAAGTTTGCATTTCACCCAGTTTTCTACCATTTCTCCCCTGCCTCGTTTATTCAGTGCGAGTAGCTCTGGCTGTTCAATCGTTCTTTCATTTCATTTGATTTGCCTTTGCTTTTGCCGCTGACATTCAGATTACTTCAATCGGTATCTATTTAACTTCAGTCGCAGTCATTTGAATTTTTAATTAATCGCTCGGCTGTTTGGCGAAAGTCAGGTGAGGAATGGAAGGGAGCAAGTGGAATGCAATCAGCGCCAAAGGTCACCCACCCACCCACCACCCACCTGAACCCACTTTGATTGGATCGAAATATTTTATTTTGGCCAAAAGCTGACCCCTTGACATTTGCATGCGATTTCGACAGTTTTGCATGTCCGAACACAATTAATTAGGCTGCGAGGCCCAACAAATGTCCAAATAAAAGTCAGCGGGGCCAACGAGTTAAATTAATGGCAAAAGTGAGCGGGTTTGAGGTTTTCGGTTTCGGTTTACGGTCATCATCAGAAGTTGGCCGAAACGGGCTAATTGAGCACAAAAACCCATTTACAATTGGCTGGACCTCGAACTTTCGACCATATGCGACGGCTTAGCCCGACAGCTGTCCAATTAATTAGAAGCCACCAGAAATAGCAGACGGACTATGACGAGGATGACTCTACCACTGAGCTGAGAACTGAGCCGAACTGACCAAAGTTTGCATTGGCAAATTAATTACTGAAA